GGGTTGCAAACAATGGTCCTTAGTGTTTCTGTAAGTCTGGAAGCAAAGTCATAATATGAGAGGGTCAGGACTGGAATGGAATGGAATAGGATTCAAAATAGAAATAGAAATAGGAATAGGAATAGGAATAGGAATAGGACGGGACGGGACGGGACGGGACGGGACGGGACGGGACGAGACGAGACGGGACGGAACAGAACAGAACAGAATAGAATTCAAAATAGAAGAGAAATAGGAATAGGAATAGGAATGGAATGGAATGGAATAGGATTCAAAATAGGAATAGGAATAGGAATAGGAATAGGAATAGGAAGGGAAGGGAAGGGAAGGGAAGGGAAGGGAAGGGAAGGGAAGGGAAGAGAAGAGAAGAGAAGAGAAGAGAAGAGAAGAGAAGAGAAGAGAGAAGAGAAGAGAAGAGAAGAGAAGAGAAGAGAAGAGATGGAAAACAGACTCAAAATAACAAAGTTGGAAGGGACCTTGGAGGTTTTCTAGTCCACCCCCTGCTCAGGCAGGAAACCCTATACCAGTGATGGCTAACCTTTTTGCCATCGCGTGCCAGAAGGGGTGGGCGGGGGAGGTTCATGCGTGCATGTGTGTGGCCACACCCATAATTCTATGCGCCCCACCCTGCACATGCATGCACAACCCCCCTCCCCCGCTCCTGGCACATGATGGCCAGGTAGGCCCATTTTTCTTTCTCACCTGGCTCCAGATCCTCTCTATGCATCTGGGGAGGGCGAAAACAGCCTTCCCCACTCCCTTGGAGGCTCTCCAGAGGCCTGAAACGGCCCATTTCCCAACTCCCAGTGGGACAGGAAGTGACTTTTTTGCTGTCCCCAGCCTCTAGAGTCTCTCTAGGAGCTGAGCTGGCATGCCCACTGATATGGCTATGCGTGCCACCTGTGGCACGCATGCCATAGATTCACCATCACAGCCCTATACCATTTCAGACAAATGGCTGTCCAATCTCTTTTTTAAACACCTCCAGTGTTGAAGCATTCACAGCTTCTGGAGGCAAGTCGTTCCCCTGATAAATTAAAGTACTCTATATAACAAACAACTTTTAAAAAAAAACGAACAAAGAGAATACCGTAGCTTGGGTATCTTTACCGGGATGTCAAGACCCTCGCAATAATCTGACAATATCAAAGGCATAAACATTCAACTCGGGCTCTTTTGCATAGCCCATAATATCTGACTCCATGCTCCATTGTTACTAAGGAAACAACCCCACTGGACTTAAATGGCATCAACCTGGGGATGAATGGGTCTGAGATGTGTTTTTTTTTCTCTTTAAAGAAGATTAATATCATCAAAGTTATATAGGCTTTAGATGACCCCCAGTGTCTTTATTACTCATCATATTAGGTGTTGTTGAAGGGAGTTTAATAATATCTGGAAGACCAAAGCTCCTAATCTCTGATTTGCCCAGAAATGAGGTTAAGGATTAAAAATATATTGCTTGCTTGTCATTGATCATTGTCAAGATCATTGTTTGCTTGTCCATGATCTTGAAGGTGAAATTGTCTTCTTTCCCACATGCACCTAACCTGGAAGGACTAGGGGTGACATGAGAGCAGTATTCCAATATTTGAGGGGCGTCCACAGAGAAGTGGGGGTTTGTCAACCTATTTTCCAAAGCACCAGAAGGCAGGATATGAAACAATGGATGGAAACTCACCACGGAAAGTCAGCAACCTAGAACTGAGGAGAAATTTCTTGAATTGTGAGAACAATGAATCAGTGGGACAGCTTGCCTCCAGAAGTTGTGGGGGCTCCAGCACAGTAGGTTTATTAAGAAGAGATTGGACAACCATTTGTCTGAAATGGCACAAGGTCTTCTGATTGAGCCGGAGGTTGGACTCGAAGACCTCCAAGCGTCCTTCCAACTCTGTTATTCTGATTTATTCTCCAAAGCACCAGAAGGCAGGACAAGATAGAAACTAATCAAGCAGACAAGCAAGATAGATCTAAGGAGAAATGTCTTTAATTGTGAGAACAAATAATTAGTGGAATGGCTTATCTCTAGAAGTTGTGGGTGCTTCAACATTGGAGGTTTTTAAGAAGAGACTGGACATCCACTTATCTGAAATGGCATATAGGGTCTCCTCTGTTTGAGCAGGGGGTTGGACTAGAAGACCTCCAAGTTCTCTTCCAGCTTTATTCTGATTGATTGAACCTCTCTCCTCTGGCTAAGAAGTCTGAATAACTCAGGCAGTTTCTCTCTTCTGCAGCTTCTATCTTTACACCGCATCTCCTCATTGCTTCTACAATCTACACGTTGCAGTCACTCAGTCTTCAATGCTATCTTATCTCTGTATTGACAACTGTCTTATCAATGGATGCCATGTCCATACCTGACAGGGCCTATAAACACTTCTTTCTCCAATTTTTGCTAGTTCTCTGTCTGCTCCTTCTACCTCTAGCTTCTACCCAAAGGTGCTTTTTCAAAAGGCAACTGGACTTGCTTTGTTTTTGTTTCAGTTCTCATCCATGAAGTCAGAACTGAAGACCTCAGTCAAAACCGAAGAAGCTTCTTGGTTTTTCAAGGAAAAACCAAGAAAATCCAGTTGCATCTTGAAGAAGCACCTTTGGGACAACCATGACCTGGATGACTGAGAATCTCCCCAGACATTGGGTTGAGTGGGTCTTCTTTCACCACCAATGGCTTTGGGACATCCTGGTGGGACAAGAAACAAATGGGCCTTTGTTCAAGAAGTTGCATCATAACATCCATGTACCCTGATCTCCCCAGAATTTTTTTTGAGAAAGGGGCATAGGACAATTTTGAAAATCCTTGTCTATGGAGATTCTCAGTCATCCAGGTCATGGTTGTCCCAAAGGTGCTTTTTCTAAAGACAACTGGATTGTTTTTAGAAGAAGGAGAAGAAGAAGGAGAAGGAGAAGAGGAGGAGGAGGAGGAGGAGGAGGAACAGTTTAAGTTGAAGAAGAAAGGAAGAGAAGAAGACAAAGGAGGAAGAGGAGAAG